TTAATACATCGTCTATTCTATGTACAATTACGAGAAAGTCAATGGAAGTATTATTATGATATTGGTATGCAAGAAAATATTTGGTTCGGTCTCGTATCAAAAAAATGGGCTGCTATGAATAGTATGCATCATACTTATGGTCGCTCAAAAACATTAATCGTACAACGTCTAACAACTCTTCAACGACAACTTCAAGAAGATCACAAGCATTACAAGAGTTTGGCAATCCATCATTATCTCAATGTCTATCTGAAATGAATCATCCATTAGATTTTACAACAATGTCAGCAATGGTTACAGCTGTTGTCGGAAAAGGTCAACATAAATTAAAGCAACAATTTGAATATAATAAAAAAATTTTAAAATTAGACTCAACAGATCATCGTTTCGTACAATATGTTTTTGATTTGAAGCCTAATAAACAACAAATTCGTTCTATTCGTAATATATGAAAAGCAATTTATAATAAAAAAAAAGCTTGTTAGCGCAGCTCCTTTGGAGCTGAAATGTGGAACTTTCGTATATCCTTCAAACCTATTATGCTAATGCATTATTTGTAAACTAAAAAATAGTTCTTCTCAAATAATTCTGAAAGCATTGAAATATTGTATAAAATCTGAAGTCTTTTGTGCGCGGTTGCTAGGTCTGTAATGGTGGTATGTCTGTAATGGTGGTATGTCTGTAATGGTGGTATGTCTGTAATGTTCTCTTCCGTTGTTATGTGTCTGCAATGGGATGTGGGAGGGGGAGTGATAGCCGGAAAACCTTGACCTTAACACTTACATCCACTATTTTCTTCGAAAATATACGTGAGTTCCACAAAACAAATGGAAGAACAAATTGAGATATTAAAACATCGCATCCATTCGAATTGTTTACCACCAGCATTCAATCTTCTTGATTATTCACTTAATAAAATTGATAAAATACTTAGCCGATCGAAACAATCTTCTACTAACGATGATGATAACAAGCAACCAACAATATTATATGCTTGTCGTTTAAAAAAAATTGACCGATCTAAATATGGTATGCTTGAATTAAGTATAGCAGCTGGTAAAGAAAAAGTACGCTATTGAAATAAAATAGCGACAAATGGAAAAAAGAAATTGGTATAGCTATTATCGATAATTAAAGATAAACAATTCAGATTCAGATATATTCAAACAACTAATGGTAGCTATTGAAGCACGTGAAAAACATATGATCGAACAATCTGATTATATTACACAACAAAAATTGAATTCTTTTTTCGACGAAGTTCTGGCGTCACAGAACGATACAACGAACAACGATGACGTCGGAGCAAATCAAAATTAATTATTCGAAACCATACGGATATGTTTCTTTGTTTATATTTTGTCAATACTATTGTAACATTATCGAATGAACAATTGCTTATTCCCATGTAAACACTAAACGCAGAAACTGTGCGTTTAAACGCGTTTTTCTTGTGAAACACGACTGGACTCAGTCAAAAGACAATAAAAACCACGTCTGCACGCGATTTTGCACAGACCGCATCTAAACACGGCTGGACTAAGACTTCAAGCGCATCTTAACATGTTTTGGTTTGGAATCGCGTCTCCAGTGAAACATTTCTTGTGTCTAGACGCGGTTTTACTTGCAACCGCGCCTAGACGCATTCCATTGCTTCGATCAATATACAAACGAAACGCTATTGTGCAACTCGTTTATAGGAAAAAATATATAAAAGATTCGTTTTCTATTCACTAGAAAATATATATCACAGTTTTTTTTATAAAATTAATTTAGTTTGAAGTATATAGGAGTTCTCAAAAAGTTAGAGTTCTTTTTCTGAAGAAAGACAGAATGTATATATTTTTTAATCCTAAAACGTTGGTACTCTAAAATTGAAAATGATGAAATTTTAGAAATAATATAACCGAATTTTTTTTCCACAACGAATAGTTTCCATAATTAGATATTTTTAAAATTATGTAGTTGGATTTATCTAATGCAAACTCTTTTTTTGGATAAATGAGTATATTTTTATACACAGCACCTCATTGACATATGTATCTATGAATAAGTTTATAATAGACGATGAATATATAGATTCTGTTTCGTTCTACAACTAATGTGATCACATGTGGCTCAATGGTATGTACACTTGTTTTCTAATCTCTAGTCTACTTGTTCTAACCTCATTTCTATCATTTTAGAAACATTCAAATTTAAACTCTCCGTTGGCCTGTAGTTAGGTAAAGATCATCGCTAGGCAATATTGATGGCGAAGCAGATCAAACCTAAGACGGATTGTAATGCATTTTTTAAATTTGACATATCGATTCGAACGCGTTTTGATTCAAAAAATATTTACATGGGTCATTAATAAAGGTTTGAAATTTATTCCACCCTGTCAAAGGCATTTCTTTTATCGACAACCTATGGAAGAAATTATTGAACGAGTATACAATCACATCTATAATGAAAATGTTAAAAATCATACCGATTACATGTTTTCAACGCGTGATACATGCGCTATTGAATATTTTGCTGTAATAAAAAATTTACTTCAACAGCTATATACGAAACCAATACCAAAAAAACTTGAAAGACTTGCTCAATATATGTACAAGATGATAAAATCAATGCAACGACAATTATGCAAAGCTAATATTGCTGTTTGACAAACTGATAGAAGCAAATTATTTTTCTTTATTGATTCACATGAATACGGAGAAAAAATTAAAAGTTATATGACAAAAACAAACGCATATCAAGAAATCATCAGTGGCATTTATCCATTAGCAGATGATTTACAATCTGTGCTAACTTTACTTGATGATCTATTAAAGCGTAAAAAAATAACGGAAGATCAATATAATCAAATATATCCAAATCTAAATACATTAGAATTTGCTCATATTTATTTCAATCTTAAAGTACATAAGGTAAAACCGTTAGTTTGTTACCTAAATATTTTTTCTATCATATGTTTCTTGTAGCCTGAACTATCAGTTTGACCTATTCTTGCTTCAATTAATGCACCAGCTAGATAAATATTCAGTTTTCTTGATCAACTTCTTCCTCCAATTTATAATCATGTGACACAAGATATTACATTCATCAATAGTATAGATCTCACCTGAACAACATTATCTATAACTTTTCATGTTGCTGATTTATACACAATGATACTACATGATGGCACTATTGCTGCTTTAACGCGACTTTGTAAAAACTATTCAATTAATGGAAAAATTGGAAATCTCAAAATATAAACTATGATTCAATTAGCATGTGTTGTTTTAGATACCAATTCATTTGCTTATAAAGATAAGTATTATCGACAAATTAAAGCGTATGATGCCTTACTTGAATTTCCGGTAGCTTGTATTATTTTCTGTTGATGGATATCGAGGAGGTATAGGAGATATTGGAGATATTGATTAATTGGTACAGATGATCATTCGATAGTGTTTGAATTTAAACATCTATTCGTAAAATATATTGGTGTCATTTGTCAATCCTTGCTCGAAAAACTCAATTCCTATACCTCCTATATCTTGATAAACAGGAAACTATAGGAATGTCCGGAAATTCAAATAAGGCATATAATCAATTAAAGGTGGTGCCATGGGTTCACCATTTACTATGGTTTTAGCAAATATTTATATGTTAGAATGGGAGCAAAAATTAATTCAACACCAAAATAGACATCATGAAATTTATGGACGGTTAATTTTGCATTTATTAGTTACTTTTTTTATTACTCTAATAATCATAAATATTTATAGATATATTGACGACATATTTATGACAACTAATTTATCCAAAGAAGATATTCTGAAAGAACTTGATGAAACCATTAAAACAGATTCAAATGTCACAATTAGTACTACTATCAGTCAATCATTAGAATATCTTGATTTTACTATTGAAAATATTAATGGACATTTAAAAATATCTATTTATCATAAATCAGCTTCAGAACCCTATATTCTACCTTATGAATCTGATCAGACAAGACACGTTCATGTGAATCTAATTTATATTGCATTAGTGCGAGCTGCACGTAACTGTTCCAATGTGGAAGATTTTGATATGGACCGATTAAGTACAGAAATGATATTACTAGTTAACGGTTATCCACCAAAATTTATACAACATCATATAAAAACATTCTTTGTTAAATATGATTCTATGAGTGTATGGACTGAATTAAACAGTGAAGACAATCAACAACTACATAATATGTTACTTTATAGACCAACAAAAAGAGAAAACAAAACATAAATCTCGAGTCTTTGTCAATTAATTCGAAAAACGAAAAACTATGCACATAAAGATCAAATTTATCTTCATTACACGTTCAAAAATGGACCATTATTAAATTTCAAAAAAGAATATCATAAAATATGGCAAAAGTTCTGTTTATCCAGGATCACATTTCAAAAATACACGACCAATTCTTGGTACAATATTAAATCGTACTTTACCAAGTCTTTTGATACGCAGATAGCCTTCACAAGATATGTTTACCAGGATGCAACCAACCACAGAAGCAGCTCGCACAACAATGAAAGAACGGTTTAATCATTAACATTTGTTTCTTTCAGACATCCCAATTGTGAAGGGTGTTTCCTTCCTGTTTGTTCGCTTCTTTCTCAGTTTTGTTCTCAATAGAGGATATTCTGTTATTATCATTAGATCTTGTTACTAGATCATCATCATCATAAGTTTTCTGCTCTTGAGCAGGTTCTTAGGATAACAGTTATAACTTGTATACTTTATAGCTTTCTCCACTCCGTCCTATCGCTAGCAAGCCTTTTTAGGTACACATACCCATTTTTATTTGCTAATTCATCTAGCATTTTCACCCTTTTTCTTCCTCTCTTTCTTTCACCCTCCACTGTTCCCTCGATCATACCTTTTAGTAAATCATCTCCTCTTAGTACATGGCCTATCCAATTTCTTTTCCTCATTTTTATTCTTTCTAACAAAGTTCTTACTTCTCCTATTCTTTCCAAAACTTTTGCATTGCTTACTCTATCCTTCCAACTTATCTTTAACATTCTTCTCCACATCCACATTTCGAAAGCTTCGAGCTTTTTCTTTTCGTGCTCCCTCAATGTCCAAGTTTCAGCTCCATACAGCAGCACACTCCAAACAAAGCATTTCGCTAATCTTTTCCTTAATTCTAGGTCTAAAGATCCACATAAAACTCGCTTCATTCTTGTAAAAGCGTCTTTTGCAATTCCTATTCTAGCCCTCACATCCTTCTCACATCTCCAATCCTCTGTTAAAAAGCTACCTAAATATTTAAAAGTGTTGACCTGTTCTACCCTTACACCATCTATACGTACCACAATATCTTCCTCCCTTCCTATGCTCATAACTTTGGTTTTCTTTGCATTAATTTTCATTCCATATGCTTTACATGCTTCTTCTAACTTTTTAATTGATATCTCTAAATCCTCCTGGTCCTCTGCTAATACTGCCATATCATCTGCAAATCTTACACAGTTAACTGTTCTTCCACCAATCTTCACACCCTTCATTTCCGTTTCTATTTCTCTTATCATTTCCTCTAGATAAGTGTTAAATAGTATAGGAGATAAGCAGCACCCTTGTCTCACTCCTCTACCAAGCTCTATCTTTTTAGATTCCTTGTTTCCTATTCTCACTATCACTCTTTGGTCCTTATACAAATTTCTTATCAGCCTTCTTTCTTTCCATTCTATTCCTTTATTTTTTAATATTTCAAGCAGTTTATCCCAATTCACTCTATCAAATGCTTTCTCCAGATCTACAAAGCAAATCACGAAACTTTTACATCTTTCTGTTAACCTCTCTCCTATGACTCTCATTAACCCTATGGCATCTCTAGTGCCTCTTCCTTTCCTAAAACCAAACTGCTCTTCTCCTAGATACCCATCTAACCTACCTTGCAACCGCCTACTTACTACTCTTAATAAAACTTTTGCCGCATGTGAAATTAAACTAATTGTCCTAAAATCCTCACATTTACTAGCCCCTGCTTTCTTTTCGATAGGCATTAACAAGGATTCTAAAAATTCTTTTGGCCACAAACCAGTTTCATAGATTTCTCTACATACATCGATTAGAGCCTTCTTTCCTTTATCTTTCATACTTTTGAGAAACTCGACGGGTATACCGTATACTCCTACTGCTTTCTTACTTTTCATTTCTTTGAGAGACATTTCTATTTCACTTTCTAATATTGAAAACCCTATCCGTTCCCTTTCTACATTGCTCTCATCCTCTATTGTACCTTGTCCTAAGCATCCCTCATTAGGATACAATTCTGTTACATATTCTTCCCACCTATTAATTACATCATCATCTTCTATTAATCTCTTTCCATCTCTTGCCTGAATGCATCTCACAGTTCCACCTCTCTTTTTCAACCACACTAGTTCTTTTACTTTCCCATACATCAAATCATACCGACCACGTTTTTCTAAATCCTCTATTATTTCACACTGGCGTTCTAACCATTCTTGTTTCGCCTTTTCTGTCTCTCTCCTTAACTCATTGTTTAACCTTTTATATTTTATTTTACCCAACTCGCTGTTGACATTTTTCCATTTTCTTCTTTCATCCATCTTTTCAATCATTTTTTCACTAACCCAAGGCTTCCTAGCTTTTACATTTTCTTTAAATCCTATTACTTGTTTTGCTGAATCAACTATCACGGTCTTTAACCTAGTCCACTTATCATTAGCATCCTTATCTCCACTTTCACTAACTTTTTCTATCTTTTTATCTATAGTATTTCCAAAAACTTCTGTAACAACTTTGAGTTTTTCTAAATCCCATCTTTTCCTTAATAAAGCTCTTTTAACCTTTTTTAATCTGAGTTCCATTTCTACGATAACTAAATTGTGATCTGAGTTAATATCTGCTCCTGGGTGTGCACATGCTTTCTTTATACTATTCCTAAACCTTTCCTGTACCAATACGTAATCTATCTGATATCTAGCTGTATCACCGGGAGCCTTCCAAGTATACCTTCTTCTTAAATGATTTTTAAACCATGTATTTGTAATGATGAGCTTATTTTCTCTACAAAAATTAACCAGCATATCTCCTCTATCATTCCTAACTCCATATCCGAAACCACCTACAATCTTATCCTCTTTTCCTTCACCTACAACTGCATTCATATCTCCCATCACTACAACACAACTATTCTTCTCTTCTTTTCTTATCAACTCTTCTATTTGTGAATATATGTCCTCTATCTCTTCATCTGCATGTGCGCTCGTAGGCATGTATACTTGAATGAACACTACATCTTTTGGCTCCGCTCTCAATCTTACCATCATAAGCCTATCACTTACTAACTCTATACTTTTTACGCAGTTTTTTACTCTTTCGCCTAAGACAATTGCAACTCCATTCTGACCCTTTACTTTACCGGAAAAAATCATCCTGGCCTTACCACTTGTCAATTCGCCACAATCTTCATACCTAACTTCACATAACCCAACTACATCCAACTTTTTCCTTTCCATCTCTCTCTTAAGGTTTTCAAGCTTACCTGCCTGTAGCATTGTTCGAACGTTCCATGTACCAATTACCAGTTTATTTTCTTTGGTTAGAGGATTTCGCTTGATGACGACTTGAGAAGCCCCTGTCCTTCTCCTGCTGGGCAAGACACTCATACTAAATTTCTGAGTCCCAACGCCACCTAATGCTATATTATTATAATCGTTATCCATATTTGCTGGGAAAAGTTTAGTTAGAGTGGTTTTCCCTTTGCCTGCTCTAACCCTTTGGTCCACGGCTCCTTATTCATTATTCAGAGCAACCCTTTAGGGCTTCCCTCATCCGCCACCCGAGGGACGCGCCTGGTTGGGGTTAGGTCCCCCTGTCTGATCTAGAAAGAACAACTGCTCAAGTTAATGCGAAGAGTGTCGACCTTGGTCGTATGGCGGAGCATCTATCACAGCATCAACAGAAGCAATTTCTCTTTTTAGATCAGACACCCAGGGTTACTAGATAAACATTGTTTTTTTCTTCCTGTTTATTTTTCTCTTAAATACGTGCAACATGTCGAATACAACCATTTATTACATTTTTCATTATTTAAGCTCAGATATTTGACCATTGAACATGTGAACCGGTACCATCTTCTAGTTCATGTTTCGTTATTTCTCCTTTTTCTTTCTTTGATTTGATATATGTTCACTTTGAAACCAGACGTACTTCATACTATCATATATTCTAGATATATACTAATCAACACTATCTACAAATAATAATCGCAAACACTTAATAGCAATATATAAGCAATCACTGTAAGCAAATCATAGTTATGACAAAACTGATGAGTGGCCATTAAGCAAGACCGAAACGCGTCGTAAGGATGCTTGGTAATCTAAAAATTTAATTTTATACACAACCACAATGAACCAGATTATACAAAAGAATATCGATGCACCATACAAGCAATTTTCCCCTTATTCGTCAACTCGCACAGGAACACTTTAACAGTCAAATATAATTTCCTCTATGTCTCGAAAAAAACTATAAAAAACTAATTGTAGATTATCTCTCGTTTCTACGATCTTAATATCACTCGAAAAGAAACTCTTGTCTAATCATATGATGAGAGCATTAAGGAAGAGCGAAACACATCATCGTGTGCTTGGTATATCCATGCTATACATCTGACGAGATTCTTTGCCTAATTTAGACGTATTGTAATAGCTTCACTTGATATTTCTTATCTCGATGTAAAATATTCTAATTCTCAACGTATACTCACACACAAAAACAGTTAGAAGAAATATTAGTAGTGCTAAGTAGAAGTTAGGAATAATGAATCAATGAAAAAAAAAGCTTAAGCCAGCAGTGGTAATATTAACAGGTCTGTAAAAAAATGTTTAAATTGTCAGCACCTTCATTGGCGACGACGAAATCCAATTTTCCATCATTATCTAAATCACCAACGGAAATCGAGAACGGAAGAGATCCATAACCGGTCGAAAAAAACTTGATGCTTGCGAAGAAACCATTCCCATAACCAAGCAACACACCTATGTTGTTTGTGCCATAATTAGCAACAATAATGTCTACCCAGGTGTCATTGTTGAGATCTCCAACAGCAACTGCGTTTGGTTGAGAGTTTAAACCGGTCGTAAACGTTTTCTGGCTTGAAAACGAACCATTGCCCCGTCCAAGAAATACACCAACATTGTCACTGCCAAGATTCGCGACGACAATATCAAGTATGGTATCGTTGTTGAAATCACCAACAGCTATTG